GTAGACAACTGCTGCCTGTGTACCTCCAGAAGTTTGAGGGGGTCTTCAAGTAGTTCATCAAAAATGTGTTATGAAAAAAGTTTGTGCATGGATTTCAAAGTTTTTTGCATCCCCCCAAAATGTATTTTTTCTTCCCTTTTTGTACCTTTTGATGTACCCCTGTGTTATGCAGCTACTTCCCAAGGGCTGTGTCTGTGGGTCCCTCTGAGTAGCTGAATCCAATTGGAACTTGGTAATGAGAAATACAGGAAGCCACTGAGACGTCCTACCTAGGAGGCTCCCATTACGTACTTGCCTTGAGGTTGTCCATTAACAAGGCTCCCAAGAGGCCTCCATGAGTGCACTAGAGCCCTGTGTGTAGGAAAGGTTGGCTGGTCAGCTCCTGGAGGCTTCTTCATGCCTGCAGTACATTATTTGTTTATTAGCCGGCGCCGTGGCTCAATAGGCTAATCCTCCACCTTGCGGCGCCGGCACACCGGGTTCTAGTCCTGGTTGGGGCGCCGGATTCTGTCCCGGTTGCCCCTCTTCCAGGCCAGCTCTCTGCTATGGCCAGGGAGTGCAGTGGAGGATGGCCCAGGTGCTTGGGCCCTGCACCCCATGGGAGACCAGGAAAAGCACCTGGATCCTGGCTCCTGCCATCGGATCAGCGCAGTGCGCCGGCTGCAGCGGCGGCCATTGGAGGGTGAACCAACGGCAAAGGAAGACCTTTCTCTCTCTGTCTCTCTCTCTCACTGTCCACTCTGCCTGTCAAAAATAAATAAAAAAAAACATTATTTGTTTATTATTTTATAATTTATTTTCATTTTATTTGCAAATCAGAGAGAGAGGAAGAGCTGTCTCCCGTCTGCTGGTTCACTCTACAAATGTCTGCAACAGCCAGGGAAGCCCAGGGCCAAAGCCAGGAGCCAGAAATTCAGCTCCTGTCACCCACACAGGTAGAAGAACCCAAGAAGTTGAACCACCATCCATTCCTCCGAGGGTGCACGTTAGCAGGAAGCTGGATTGGAAGCAGAGCCAGGACTAGAACCAGGCACTCTGATATGGGAGTCAAGTGTCCCAAGTGATTTACCGACTGCTTCACCCAGTATCCGCCTCACCTTTAGTACAAATCACCTCAGGCCAGGGACATTCCTGCTGCTTCTCAGCTCCTGGAGAATGGATATACAGCCCAGAAAACTGAGTAAGGAAATCCGGGTGCCACTGTGTGGAGTTACAAGGATAAATCATGGCCATGAGGACCAAACTGCAAAATGTCTGAGTAGCTCTATATGGGAAGTGAAACTTCTCGAGTGACAGTAGTATCTTTTGTTATCCATGCTAATGACTTGACTTGCTTTGTGGGGGGGCTCACAGCTTCAGGATGGGGGCAGGGGTCACCAGAGAAACCCAATGTTGTGATTAGAGAGAGTTGAAATTTTCAGCCTTGTTGCAAAACAACTCTATACTAGTTGGAGGAATTGCTATAGACTCCTAGTCTTCTCAACCCATCCCTGACGTTGGGGTAGTGGAAGAAAGCATGCAATTGTTTGCCAAGGGCAGAGCAAGGAGCCTGGCAGCTATGGCTTCACCCCCGGGCTCCCTGAGGGACTAAGGGGAGGTTCCTAATGAAGCCAGGGCTGAGAGGTGCCTGATCAGCTCGTGTCCAGCTTCCTGGTTGGGCAGAGATGCTCCTGCCCTTCCTTTGGTCAGTTATGCTGGGCTCTCCCGGGAGCTTTATGATGGAGGGCCTCAAGTGGTCCGAGGAGTTACATGCAGGTGGTGTTCGTGTTCTGCCCCAGACCTGGAACTTCACTGCCTGGATCTGGAATAAACAAAAGCCCCCTGGATAATACTGGCCATCAAGGTTTTATCTATTGGAGATGCAAATAACTTCTTGAGTGACTAGAACTTTGTCAGGCCAGTTATACCATTCTCTCAATTCAGCGAATTCCTTTTGATAAGTAGTTAATCCTAAAGGACAGACAAGAACCTCTTGGGCTAAGGGAGACAGATGAGAGGCTGGGTCCTGGGGGTATCTTGTCTCTATATTAGGGATTTTCTTAAAAGAGTTCAGTCTCAGCCTCACCACCTGACCTCTAGGGAGGGGAGAGTGGAGACTGAGTTCCGTCATGCAGTTACAGGTTGGATCAGTTACACCTGCATAATGAAGCCAATAGAACCACCCAGGAATGCCCAGGTTTGGAGAGCTTCAGTTCGGTGGACTCATCAAGGAGCTGGGAGGGGGTGCAGAGGGTCTGCAGAGGGTGTGGAAGCTCCGCTCCCTCTCCTCAACCCCGCCCTCCATGCCCTCCCCTGTGCATTTCTCCCATTTGGCTGTCCCTGAATTGTATCCTTTATAATAAAACTGTAATCACAGCTATGAATATATCACTTTCTTGAAGTCTGGTAGTCTTTCTAGCAAACTATCAAACCTACCTGTTGGGGCTGGTGGTGTTAGGTAGGAAGTTAGATATGAGCTTATGTGTGTGTGACAGGCCTAAAGAGAAGACGTCTATGTCCAGCATATGCTGCATCTCAAAGTCATCCCGATAATGCTTCAGGGGCAGCCCGGTATTCGCATCCTGCCCTGCCCCCTTCTACCTGATAACCTGCCAGGTGGAGGTCCCCACCCCTTCTGCCTGACAAATCTTCCACAATCTCCCAGATGCAGCCCAGTATCTGCATTTCAAACACCCTGCTCCGGATCCCCATTCTCTAGGGGGTCCTGCTCACCCCTCCTCTGAACCCAGGATGGCGCCAGCTAGGCTTCCTCCTGTCTAATACCTTCAAGGGAAAACTCAGATAGGAGCTTCTTAATATTTATAGCCATAAAATCCTTTGTTTCAGGAGGAGATGTGTGAAGACAAAGACCCATCTCCTTAAACACCCCCACTCCACCCCACTCCTACCCTCACCCCCACCCCGGGCCTCAACCAGATGGTGTGCTCAGCCCTCTGCCACTCTGCTGAGCCGCCCGCCTGGCCTGCCCAGGTTTAATCTCTCTACTCAACCATGTAACCTCACTCCCCACCCCCACCCCCCCCAATCCGAACGACTGGGCACTCTCAGGTCCTGTCTGGAGAGGTGCCCACCCATCCTTACGGATGTCCCTTCCCTAATGAACCTTGCTATTTTACCTCCCACTGCTCTCTGTCTCACGCCTGAATTCTTTCTTGCGCGAAGACAAGAACCCTGCATTTCTCTGGTAACAGTGGGTTAAGCCACCATTTGGTGACATGAGTGGCCTATACTGCAGTGCCAATTTGAGTCCTGGTGCTCAGCTTCAGATCTAGGTTCCTGCTGATGTGCTTGGGAAGGTAGAAGGAGATGACCCAAGTACTTGGACTCCTGCCACTCATGTTGGAGAGCAGGATGAAGTTCCTGGCTCCTGGCTTTGGCCTGGCCCAGACCTGGCTGTTGTAGCCATTTGAAGAGTGAGCCAGCAGATGGAAGGTCTCTCTATCTCTCTCTGTTGCTCTGCCTTTCAAACAAATAAACCTTAAAAAAATAAACCTGTTATGGGAACCTTTGCTTTCAAAATTGACAGCCAAATCAGAAGTGCAGTAGTCTGAGGACCTGGGACTTGTAATTGACATCTGAAGTAGGACCAGGCTTATGGAAACTGGGCTGCTTAACCTGTGATGTCAGGGAGTTAGTGTCAAAACGGAATTGTAGGGGAAGGGAGTTTAGCCTATTGGTTAAGGCGCCCAGGTCCCATACTGGAGTATGTGGGTTTGAGTCCCAGATCCACTCCTAATGCAGACCCTGGAGGCAGCAGGAATGGTTCAAGTAATTGGGTCCCTACCTCCCAGACCAAGTGGGAGACCTGGACTGAGTTCTAGGCTTTGGTCCCAGGTCTGTTATTGTGGGCATCTGGGCAGTGAAACAGTCGAGGGGAACTTCTCTCTGTTTCTCAAAAAGAGAAAATTTTTAAAACTTGAATTGCAGGACACTTGGCTGGTGTCAGGGCACTACTGATGGAAACACTACATTGCTGAAATTGTCTCAAAGTTCCGCCCACTTGCAATGGGCATCTGACCATCTACTCCAGTGACTCCTTATCCGAGCTTCCCAGCTAACCGACTTCCATCGCCAGTGGTTCCACATGCCTCCATGCACTCATCCTTCTGTGCAAATGGTCAGGTCCTGCAGGCTTCAGGGATCTGCAAGCCTCCACTCCAGGCCAGCCACTTCTGACACAGAGTGAATGTAGCTGGATGTAGTGATAGCTCTCAGTTCAGTGTAGTTTTGGGCCTCGGCATGCCTAACCTCTTTTGGAGCTCAGGCCAGAAGTCCTGAAGTGCTTCCTGGCTCGTCTTGCCCACCTCATAAATATTTATATGTTGTACATCTCGATACTGCTCAGGTGTGACTGTCCAATGTCACCATGCCTTAACGCTCTCTGAAATTCAGTGATCTGCCTCTCCAGTCTGACTCAGCTAGTTCAACTGACTATACAGCATTTCCTCTCATTCCTACCCACTGGGGTGCTCAGAAAGACTGCCACAGACCCAACCCACGAGATAGGACGCTGCTAAATTCATGTTGAATCACATTCAATCCCTTCGACCCTCCAAACCAAGCTGCCAGTTATAAATCATGGTGTAAAAGTTCTTCCCTGTAAGAAACAAAACACAAACTCCAAAGAGCTCTGAAGTTGCTCCGACTCTCATCCTGAAATTCCACTTCCAGACTTAAGAAAACAGTCAGAGGGGCTGGCACTGTGGTGCAGTGAACTGTCACGCGCAATGCTGCCAGCTCCTCCAGCTGCTCTACTTTCAATCCAGCTCCCTGCTAATGTGCTTGGGAAAACAGGCTTCGGCCCGGCTCAGCCCTGGCTGTTGCAGCCACTTGGGGAGTGAACCAGCACATGGAAGATCTGTCACTTTGCCTTTCAAATAAATAAACAAATAGTAAAAAAAACAGACATAAAGAATTGTGTAAAAGTTATAAAACACAGTATTATTTAAGAAGTGAAAAAACAGAAATAACCTAAATAACAAAGAATGGTACTGTATTTAAACTACATGATATTTAATGATTTTCCAAAGCAATTTCAATGATATTCAAGGTCTTGTAACATTATGCTGAATGAACATAGTGGATGTCAACTATATGCACTGCGGATCTAAATGGGGGCAAAAGTTATATGCTCTGTGCCTCAAGAAAAGCTGGGATAACTGAATCACCAGCAGTTCCCATTTACTGTGAAACTGAAGCCAAGCCCCTGTGTGGAGGCTACGGTGCAGATACCTTCTACTACAGGCACCAGTCTTCCACAGACTCCGTCTCCCTCTCTGTCTCCCTCTCTTTACTTGAAGTTTCTTTGCAAGTTAACCTCTTACTAAAATGAGCTCACTAATCTGAGGGAGTGGTGCATTAGGTCAGCTGGCCCCACGGGCTCCCCGATCACAGGCCTCCTAAGGTCATTTACCTCCTCTGTGGACAGCATTTTGACATTTTGTCTTCTCTTGAAGGTTTTTTCCAAGAACCCTAGGCCCTGAGCAAAAAGCAACAACCACCTAACTAAAGCTCAGTTTGCCACTTTAAAAATTTCCCAAAGAACATGAAGTCACACTCTTTTGTGGCCAGAGGAGGGCCGCAGGCCCTGCAGACCGACTAGAGACCTGTACCCGGGCTGAACACCCACCTCAGTCTCAGCTTCAATTACACGATCCCCTCCAAGAGCCCAGAAATGAAGTGAAAGCTGCCTAGCTCCTTGCTTGGTGTTTGGCAAATAAATGCCTGCCTTCTTCCTGCACCCCTGCATCAGAACCCTGGATGAGCAGGTGCAGGTTTGGGGCGCTCTATCACAGAACTATGGGGCTTATTTTCCTAAGGTTTTAAGATCAGTGTTTATTATTTTTGTAACCAGAATCCAGTAGTTGCTGCTATACCACAGTACCGCTGGATGACCTTTGGGTGACCCCGAGGAAAGCAGCCCTATCTTGCCCTCGTCCGCTGTTTCCCTGTTCGCTCCTCCACACATACTGCTTTCCAGCCAGATGGACCGTCTCACCATTCTTGCCGCACAACTGGTCATGACTGTGCCTTCACACGTGTGTTCCTTCAAGCTTACTCTCTCATACTCACTCATTCTCCTACATCCACTTCACAGGGCATCCTAAGGCTCCTGAAGGCACAGCCCTAGGCTCCCGGCTCTGCGTTCAGCAGTTGCTACGGATCTGTAAAAGCCTGTATCATGGGTCGTGTGACTCAGTGACGAGCTTGCCTCCCCTACTAGATTGTGACCCTCTCTGGGGTCCTGTAGGCTACTCCTTACCTTCGTTACTCAATGGCTTCCAGATAAGCAAATGTTTACCTTTATTTTTATCCCTCATTCATACAGTATCAAGCAACTTAACAGATAGAATGGACTAGTGGTGAATTTGACCACAAAGGAAGCTGTCTGTGGCCCTTGGCACCCAAGCTCAGAAGAGGAATGATGCTCCATCCCAGTAGCCATGAGGATACTTTATCTCCAGTCATGCTCTTTCGCACCGACATTTCGTCTGGAAAGGTCATATGGGACAGGGATATTTTTACAAATCTTAGAGACCCATTATATTCCCCTGGCCTGTGTACCGTGGAGGGACCTGGAGAGCAGCACACTCTACCAAGTGCTCTTCATCCCTCTGATACAGAACCGTGTTAATCCAACCTGGCTGCCCAGAGCTGAGCTTGAATTCCCTGGGCCCTTCCGATCAGTGGTCTACGGTGTTCCCTCCCCAGGGACACGTGCAGGGTGTGACAACCAGGCTGGCCTGAGGCTGCTGTTGGGGGAAAGACGCATCATGCCCAGCAACACTCAGGGTACAATCTCTAGTTTTCAAAATAAACTCTGTAACTTGCCACTCTTGTCCTGATCATCGCCTAGGAGGTGACCCACGGAGGAATACTTTCTGGGAAAGGTGGAGTTCAGGGGTCATGCTGCCTTACCAAGTAGTGCAGACTAGCATACAGAGAGAGACGTGGGGTTTGTTTTCTAAAAGGCCTTTCCAATGCTCACTTATACAGGAAGCCTACAAACGGAGTGTGGGATGGCCATCAAACACCTGTCTAGTGGCCCACTGCTGGTGGCCTTTGCATTGGTTCTCCTACCCCTCCAGGGGTGATACGGACTCACAGGGGTGAAGTGGACCAGATGGCTGTCACACATGTAGCGTAGAGGAATACTGAGCTTGGGGACCCCACCCCTCTTACAGCAAGCAGTTAGCAAATGTGCTGTCAGGAAGGGGGACATGACTTCTTTCTAAGGTTGCTTCCTGCGACATAACCCCGACATAACCCCGATATGGCCTGGATAAAGCATGGTTAGGAACTTGCATTCCTGGCATATCCAGGAAGATAAGAGCCTCTGGAGGGGAGCCTCCAGGACATGCCCTTTAAAACCATCAGCACTTTCAGGTTCCACGCCAATGACTAACACTTAAAAGAACAAGTTGATCAAGTACTTCCAATGAAAGAAGATGGCCTCTTGAATTATCCCCTTAATGGATTATTATTCTTTAGTGTCTTCGGCTTAGTGTTTTTCAACCACAAATGCGGCATAATTTCTTCTTTATGATCTATAGTTTGCTTCTAAAATAAGAAAGTTGTCTTTCAAAGTCCTCTCATGAATTAATTTCCTTTTTTCCTTAGATATTCTCCTGAAAGGAAACACAGCATGGTTATTATTATTTTTTAAAAAGATTTATTTGTTTGGAAGACAGAGTTACAGAGAGAGTAGAGACAGAGAGAGGGAGAAACAGATCTTCCATTTGCTGGTTCACTCCCCAAATGGCTGCAACAGCTGGAGCTGAGCTTATCTGAAGCCGGAAGCCAGGAGATTCTTACCCCCACCCCCCCCAGTCTCCCACATGGGCGCAGGCCCAAGGACATGGGCCTCCATCACAGGCACATTAGCAGGGACCTGGATCAGAAGTGGAGCAGCTGGGACTCGAACCGGCACCCATATGGGACGCTGGTGATGCAGGGTTTTAACTCACTGCACCATAGCACCAGCCCTGCTTATTATTTCTGAGCAGTAAATTATCCATCCATTCACTTATGATTCTCCAAACATCGCTGGGTGGCTACCACGTGCTAGGCATGGTGTTGGGTACAGGATTTACAAGGATGGCTGGATATTTAAAATATAGCCCCTGCCCTCATGTAGCTCACTGATAGGAAAGACAGACACCAACATCAATTATACTTCTCAGGACTAAATGCCACAATAGGGGGTGTTTGTGCTGTCCTGGGGTAGGAACTGGTTCTCCATGCAAAGAAAAGAAGAAGGATACATATGGTTGGGCGAAGGGCACAGGGTGGGACAAGGCTCAGGAAAACAAAACAACATGCTACCCTCATCTCCTATGTGCATTCTATGACCCAGATTTAAAACACTCTGGCAATTCATCTTTTAACAAGCTATTAGTAATAAAAACACCTCACTTGTCAAAAATTCTACTGTTTCTTAATTTGACTGCTGGATATTACTTGACTTGCTTTCCTCATCATGACAGATGGAAACGCCAGGAGAACAGAGAGATATTAAGTAACCAAAGAAGACAACTCCTGAAAAGCGAACTGCAAGAGAAATTCTTCAGAATGACTCACATTTTCCCATCGCTGTTACAGATCTGTCAGTAAAGTCTCAGATGACGTTTTCATGAGAATAAACAAAATAGCCAAACCATGAAAACTGTCTCTATTCAAATCTATGTCTATCAAAACACAGGGGCCAGGTCTTCATCACATGGATTCAGGCACAGAGTAAGGTGACCCTTAAATGAAGGAACTAGGAAACTCGGCTGGCTTCTAAGGGAGTTAGGTCTATCTGCCAACCTTATAGACAGGTCATAAGAAATTTAAGGAAAAATTATGCTTCCCCAATAATTCAATAATAATGCCAAAAATAAGTCACAAAAAGTGCTTAAATTTATCTCTTTCAAAACTGAGGAACTGGAATTAAGACTGCTAATTTTTAAAAAAGATTTATTTATTTGAAAGAGTTACAGTGAGAGAGGGAGAGGGAGAGAGAGAGAGAGAGAGGTCTTCTATCTGTTGGTTCACTCTCCAGGTGGCTGTAATTGGGGGCTGTGCCAGGCTGAAGCCAGGAACCAGAAGCTCCATCCAGGTCTTCCACATGGGTGCAGGGGCCCAAGCATTTGGACCATCTTCCACTGCTTTTTCCAGGCACATAAGCAGGGAACTGGATGGGAAGTGGAGCAGCTAGGACTCAAACAGAACCCATAAGGGATGGCAATGTCACAGTGGCGGCTTTACACGCTATGCCACATTGCTGGCCTGAGGATGTCAATGTTTTACAAATTTATGTGATTCACTAACAAAAATATATTTTTAAGATTTTATTTGAAAGGCAGAGTTAGAGAAAGAGAAGGAGAGATCTTCTATCCTCTAGTTCATTCCCCAAATGGCTGCAATGGCCACAGCTGGGCATAGCCAAAGTCAGGAGCCAGGAGCTTCTTTCAGGACTCCCATGTGAGGGCTGGGGCCCAAGCTCTTGAGTCATTTTCTGCTGGTTTCCTAGGCACATTAGCAGGGAGCTGGATCAGAAGTAGAGTAGCCAGGACTCAAACCAGTGCCCATATGGATGCTGGCATTGCAGACAGTGGCTTAAGCTGCTGCATCACCATGCCAGCCCCTAATATATTTGTCTTAAAAACAAATCTGGGTGTGCATTTGGCCTGGTGGTTAAGATTCTGCTTGGAACATCATACCCCACATTGTAGAGTCTGGGTTCAGGTCCTGGTTGTGCTCCTGATTCCAGCTTCCTGCTGATGGAGACCCTGGGAGGCAACAAGTGATGGCTCAAGTGGTTGGGCCTGTGCCACCAATGTCAGACACCTGGATTGAGTTCCCAGCTCCGAGCTTCGATCTGGCCTAGTCCAAGCCATCGTAGGCATTAAGGGAGTGAACTAGCAGACAGAAGCTGTCTCCCTGTGTCTGTCTCTAGACCTTTCCAAAACAAACATGATTAATTTGTGTCAGACAAAGGGCATAACATCCTTTACCTAATTTCTGTTGAAAAGTTTTCTTTTGGCCGGCGCTGTGGCTCACTTGGCTAATCCTCTGCCTGTGGCACCGGCACCCCGGGTTCTAGTCCCGGTTGGGGCGCCAGGTACTAGTCCTGGTTGCTCCTCTTCCAGTCCAGCTCTCTGCTGTGGCCCGGGAAGGCAGTGGAGGATGGCCCAAGTCCTTGAGTCCCTGTACCCGCATGGGAGACTGGGAGGAAGCACCTGGTTCCTGGCTTCAGATCGGTGCAGGGCCAGCCATGGCAGTGATTAGCAGAGTGAACCAACAGAAGGAAGACCTTTCTGTCTCTCTCTCACTGTCTATAACTCTCTCTCTCTCTCACTAACTCTGCCTGGCAATAAAAAAAAAAAAAAAAAAAAGAAAGAAAGAAAAAAGAAAAGTTTTCTTCTAATACGGGGCTAGCGCTGTGTTATAGTAGGCTAAGCTTCTGCCTGGCATCCTATATGGGTGCAAGTTCATGTCCTGGCTGCTCCTCTTCCAATCCAGCTCTCTGCTATGGTATGGGAAAGCAGTAAAGATGGCCCAAGTGTTTGGGCTCATGTAGCCATGTGGGAGACCTGGAAGCTGCTGGCTCCTAGCTTTAGACTGACTCAGCTCCAGCTCTTGTGGCCGTTTGGGGAGTGAACCAGTAGATGGAAGACCTTTCTCTCTGTTTCTCCCTCTCGGTCTTTAAGTCTACCTCTCAAATAAAAAACCAAAATCTTTAACGTAAAAAAAGAGATTTTAATCAATAGCCATGTTCCAACAATCTTTCATAATAAAAAATTGCTAGTCATAATTCTTTATTTCCCAAATTTCCTATAATGATCCTCTATAATTTTTAAAATATTTATTTATTATTTATTTGAAAGGTAGAGCACAAGAGGAGAGGAAGACAGAGAGAGAGAGAGAGAGAGAGATATCAATTGTCAATCTGATGGTTCACTCTTTGGCCACAACAGCCAGGTTTGGGCCAAGCCAAAGCCAGGAGCCAGGAATTCTATCCTCGTGTCCCACATGGGTGGCAGCAGTCCAAGTACTCAGGCCATCTTCAGCGGCCTCCCCAGGCATATTGGCAGGGAGCTGGATCAGAAGTAGATAAGCTGGGCCGGCGCCACGGCTCACTAGGCTAATCCTCCGCCTAGCAGCGCCCCCACACCGGGTTCTAGTCCCGGTCGGGGTGCCGAATTCTGTCCCGGTTGCCCCTCTTCCAGGCCAGCCCTCTGCTGTGGCCAGGGAGTGCAGTGGAGGATGGCCCAGGTGCTTGGGCCCTGCACCCCATGGGAGACCAGGAAAAGCACCTGGCTCCTGGCTCCTGCCATCGGATCAGTGCGGTGCGCCGGCCGCAGTGCGCCGGCCGCGGCGGCCATTGGAGGGTGAACCAACGGCAAAGGAAGACCTTTCTCTCTGTCTCTCTCTCTCACTGTCCACTCTGCCTGTCAAAAAAAAAAAAAAAAAAAAAAAGGAAGTAGATAAGCTGGGACTCCAACTGGCACTCCAATATGGGAAGCTTGTGTTAGAAGCAGGGGTTTAGGCCACTATGTCACACTGCTGGCCTCCATGTATCATTTTTAGTAGAGAAAAAATGTAATTAAAAGGAAAAGAAGTGAAGGAAGCAGAAGAAATGAAACTGTCGGCTCCTGGCGGCGGGGGGGGGGTATCAGCCTTGCCTTTCCCCATGGGCATCCAACCACTTTCCGGAGAGCTTGCTCATTTGCAGAGCAGTGGGTTCTTATTGGATGATGTCAGCTGTGTCCTTCCAACCAATACCATGCCTTGGAGACTTCTGTGGCCTAAAACAGGAGTGTCAGCCTTCACATTGCAGAGGTCAGACAACTGCCTCGGTTTCTCTGGGGAACTAGCTGTGGGTCCTAGCTGGAAGGACAGAGCACAGCTTCTTGACAGCCTAACTGCCTGTCTTCCTCACTTCACTTTCTGGATATCTAAAAATGAGATTTATTTATTTAGTTAGTTATATGGAAGGCAGAAAGATACACAGAGAGGAAAAGAGGAACAAAGAAAAAGAAAAATTTGCTGGTTCACTCCCCAAATGGGCACAACAGCCAGAACTGGATCAGGCTGAAGCCAGCAGTTAGGAACTCCACTCGGGTCTCCACATGGGTAGTAAGGGCCCACGTACTTGGGCCATCATCTGCTGTATTCCCAGCCCTACTAGCAGGGAGCCGATAACTCGAACCAGCACTCTGGTATGTGATGCAGGAGTTGTAAGCTGTGGCCTCACCCACTGTGCTACAACTCCAGCCCATCTCTGGATTCTAATCAGATAACCAGCCTAGATCTGTACATCTCTGTTCTGCCTTCTGCTCCCACTGTCCCAACTGAGACTGCACCTCCCTACAATCCTGACGCCAGCTCAGAAAGGGTCCCTTGTGGTTGTACCTGCTTGTCCCTCTGGGATTAGAGTTCACCTGTGCTCTGTGGGGTCTCCTAACTGGTGTGTTACCCAGGCTCAGTCCTGGTTTTGCTCCCCAAATACTTCACTGTCTGTTGTGTAGCAGGATTTACAACAAACTATTTATTACAACTGGGAAAATCTCAATATGTTGAGGTACAGTGATGGAGACAGGAGAATGATTAAGACACAATTCTTGCTCTCCAGGCATTCACAATCTAGATAAAGAAAGAACTCTCAGGGGATAATAACAGAGTTATGCATAAAATACATAGCTCAGAGGAGAGAAGCCCAAGACTTGACTTGGGTCATTGATGATTAGGAATCTTCCAGCTAGCTGGGAGGAGGAAAGGACAGAAAGCAGAATGGTTCAGGCAGATAAGAACACGTGGAGAGGCATGGCAGGCAGAGGCTATGGCTTAACCAGCTTTGATTCCCTACTTACCTAGGAAAGCACGAGGCACACAGAAGTGCACCACTGAGCATTTGTTCAATGAATTAATGCGTTGCTTTCCTTACTAGAGGCATCTACTGCCTCAAAAGAGTGTTTGAGCATCTCCAACATTTTTTTCCAAAAAAAATTAATTCAGGTTAAAAAAATCTAAACACAATCTTATCACTTACGAAGCTTAGCCCTCACAGATATGATTTCCCAGTTGGTTCTCTATTAGATTTTTGTTTAGAAATAGACAGACATGGAAAGGGAATGCATCACATCCCAGCGAGGGGACTTCCTGGCTGACAGCAGCTGCCGTTTCTGTAAGAGGCCCCTTGACCTAGGGTGGGCATCCTGCAGCTACGCCCATGCTGTCACCCTGCTCCCACCCTGCCCTGGCCACCCTGCACTGTTTGACCCAAGACTGCCCAAGTTTTTTTTTTTTAATGGCCGGCGCTGTGGCTCAATAGGCTAATCCTCTGCCTGTGGCGCCGGGTTCTAGTCCTGGTTGGAGCACCAGATTCTGTCTCGGTTGCCCCTCTTCCAGGCCAGCTCTCTGCTGTGGCCCAGGAAGGCAGTGGAGGATGGCCCAAGTGCTTGGGCCCTGCACCCCATGGGAGACCAGGAGAAGCACCTGGCTTCTGCCTTCGGATCAGTGTGGTGCGCCGGCCGCAGTGGCCATTGGAGGGTGAACCAACGGTAAAGGAAGACCTTTCTCTCTGTCTTTCTCTCTCTCACTGTCCACTCTGTCAAAAATTAAAAAAAAAAAAAAAAAGACTGCCCAAGTTTGGGTCCTAAGAGAAATTGAGTGATGGGAGGGAAGGCTCTATCATGGCACCAGCCAGGAAAGAAAGTATTTGTGATGGAACAGAACAAAGCTGACATGCTTAGAGGCAAGAAGCAAGACACCAGTCCTGGTGCTGGCTGTTCCACTCTGGACTCTGCTTTCTCTGTGGCTCAGCTGCATCCTGTCCTTCTGGGGTCATGTAAGTAACCCTGATAGCCTCCCTAAGCGTTGCTCCTTTCTCCCCTGGTGGGTGGGCTGGCTCTCAATCACAGGCCCTGGGAGACAAACTCACCCAGCTTCTCTGTGGCTTCCACACACACACTAGGGTACATGCTCTCGGTGTAAGTCGCCACCAGAAGATACAGATGAGTCTTTACAACAATCACGCCGGTGTTCCCCTGATAAAGAACAAAATAGAATTCCTTGCTCTTGGTCCCAATTACAGGACCAGTTTTCACCACGTCCCGACTTCCATACCTATTCAAATATCTGTTTTTGGATTCTCTATTCTTTTCCATTACTTTCATTGTCCTCTTCAAAAAGTTTCAGACTATTATTATAACAGCATGTGCATTTTGAAAAAAAAAATCCCAATTTATGGTAAACTAAACCTATCTCTTCCTCATATGTAAAATGCAGCTATTTAATTTGTACCATGAAGTGTGCCTAACTCATACTATGGGCATCCAATGAATGTGAATTTCATCCCCTTAATTCCTTCTAGGAAGCAGAAAGCCCAGACAAGCTTTAAGCACAGGATTGAGATACGCATTTTTTTTTTTTAATGGAGGAGGCTGAAGAAAATGAAGATGGATGGTAGCAGAAAGAGATAGTTCAGGCAAGGTTCAGGTGATAGACTGTGGAATGAGCATTAAAACCACTCTCCAAGAGTACTTACAGGAGGCTGTGGTCTCAGACACCGCCCTGAGGCAGTCATGAGCTTCCACTGTGGTTTTTTTTTTTTTTTTTTTTTTTTTTAAGATTTACTTTATTGGCCAGCGCCGCGGCTCACTAGGCTAATCCTCCACCTAGCGGCGCCGGCACACCGGGTTCTAGTCCCGGTCGGGGCGCCGGATTCTGTCCCGGTTGCTCCTCTTCCAGGCCAGCCCTCTGCTGTGGCCAGGGAGTGCAGTGGAGGATGGCCCAGGTGCTTGGGCCCTGCACCCCATGGGAGACCAGGAAAAGCACCTGGCTCCTGGCTCCTGCCATCGGATCAGTGCGGTGCGCCGGCCGCAGTGCGCCGGCCGCGGCGGCCATTGGAGGGTGAACCGACGGCAAAGGAAGACCTTTCTCTCTGTCTCTCTCTCTCACTGTCCACTCTGCCTGTCAAAAAAAAAAAAAAAAAAAGATTTATTTATTTGAAAGTCAGAGTTACACAGAGAGAGGAGAGGCAGAGAGAGAGGTCTTCCATCCGTTGGTTCACTCCCCAATTGGCTGCAAAGGCCGGAGCTGTGCCAATCCAAAGCCAGGAGCCAGCAGCCTCCTCCGGGTCTCCCACATGGGTGCAGAGGCCCAAGGACTTGGGCCATCTTCTACTGCTTTCCCAGGCCATAGCAGAGAGCTGGATCGGAAGAGGAGCAGCCAGGACTAGAACCAGCGCCCATATGGGATGCCAGCACTTCAGGCCAGGGCTTTAACCCACTGTGCCACAGCGCCGGCCCCAAGCTTATAGGGGATCTGGAGGGAAAAAGAGCACTGGCGACAAATTCCTTTCCTAAGGTTTTTGGCCAGCTGTCTTCAAATCTTGAATACTCACATTCTTAGCGTAAAGAGAATTTTCATCTGCCCGGACACATTTGTAGTCCTTTTCCTTGAAATACAGCCCTTCTCTTCGGGCCTGCAAGGGGTTTTTGGCGAATCCATTCACAAGAGTTCGGACATCACTTGGCATTACCTGTAGAAGTTCAGTGGTTAGACCAGGAGCCAGCAGGAAGCCAAATCTGGCCCACTGCCTGGTCTGTATGGCCTGCAAGCTGAGAACAGCTTTCACACGTTGTAGTGGTGTACAGATCAAAAGAACAACAGCTTGTGACACATGAAAATGACACGGAATTAAAATTTCAGGTCTACAAGGTAACATTTGATTGGAACCCTGACACACCCCTTCTTTCATTGTCCACCGCTGCTTTTCCATTATAGACATCTGCAGAGTTGAGTGGTTCTGATACAGGCTACGTGGCCCAGAAACCTAAAATATCTACCAGGGTTTTTAAAGTTTGTTTAAAAGGCTTATTCCCGAGGTTTTTTGTTTATTTTGTTTTGCCTTTTTTTTTTTTTTTTTTCTCCTACATTGAATCCCGGCGATGCCACACACAGGGTCCGCTCCTGGATCTTGATGAGCGCGGCACAGTCCACGTGCTTGGTCCCCAGGAGGGTGTCTAACAGCAGCGTCTGCAGGTGGCTCATGCCCCCTCGGCTCCCACGGGCGACTGTGGGGAAAGACAAGACAGGTGAATACGGAAGACCCCGAGACACTTCAGAGTCGCACGCGCACTCAGGAAAGACGAAGAGCGAACGGGAGGGCAGGCACCCAGTGGTGTCCACCAGGGCTCCAGGAGGAAGTGGACATCGTGGGGCATTCGCACAGAGCTGGTTATCAGGTTGAGTTTGCAACGCTCACAGCTTCTTAATTTCAGCGCTGTGTCAATGGCTTGCGAGAGGCTCAGCTGGGATTGTACAAACCAACCCGCAAGCCCACAGCCACCCAGGCTGGAGAGGCACTAAGTGAGGAGTGCCGCGCACGAGCCGTGGACCGCCCTCAGCTCCCACGGTGGCCATGGCGCCGCTCGCCCAGCCGCCTAGACACCTTCCAGGCACTTGGCCCACCTCCACAATGTCTCCCGACGCCGCTTCCCTTCGGGGGGCTTCGTTCACGCGGGTTTGGGGACACGGGAGGCGGGGGTGGGGGCTGATGTGGCTGAAGCGTCGCATATCACGGACCCGGGCCCTGGGGGAGCTCACGCCGCCTGGCTGAGGCGCTGGGCGCTCTAGGAACGGGCTGCCGCCGACCTGCCCGTCAACGGCCGCGGCGGCACTGGCTGGGACCGCTGCCCGTCACCGAGAAGCCGGGACCGCAGCCCCTTTCGTGAACCTCGAGGGGAAACCGCGAGCAGGTGCGCCGCGGGGCCCCGCGCGCGCGCGGACTCGTTGTCGTCCTCCGCGGCGGAGGCGGCGCGCGGAGCCGGCGTCCGGGAGACGCAGGACGCGAACCTGGTCGCGTTCCGAAGCCACGGGCTCGAGTTGGGTCGCGGGCTGGGTTCCCCCGTGGTGCCGGAGAGCCGAGGGCTTGGCGGGCCGCGGGAGGGGAGCTGGGGAGCCTTGGCGTGGCCGCAGGCGTCCTGGGGGCTGGTGCGAGCAGGGGCCTGGGCGCAGGGCCTTGGGGCTCAGCAGAGGAGCCAAGCCTTAAGGACCGCGTCTTTCTCAGGCCTTGGGCCGGTCAAAGCTCGAAGACAGGTTCGCTCGGCCCGAAAGCCCCCTCGCTGCCTTCCCTGAGCAGCTCGGGCTGTGCTTCCGTAGCCAGAAAGTGGCAAGCAGCCGCCGAAGATTGTGAATTTTCGCTACTGAATAGGCAATTTTCTAGTTTTTCTAGGGGCTTCGTTGTTGGTGTGACCACAATGGAAAATGTATACAGTGATGATCTGATTCCTAGCACACTTCCCAAGATCAAGAGCTCCAAAGAATGGCTGGAGCCGCAGACGCTTTCCTTTATGGAGGTATAAGAGGGTGGCGTTTGTGAGGCTCTTGTATACTTGGCTGCAAAGTGACTTGATTTTTCTATTTCATTTCATCTCTGCTAACTTTTACTTTGCTCATTTTCTGGTTTCTTAAAGTGGATTCGTAGGCCATTGGTGAATGTCCTTTTTCTAATTTAACAACACTAAAGTTTATTTTGAAGTACTGCTTGTAATTTGTTTTCTAAGCTTTATTAAGGTAATGATTGATATACAGTAAACTGCATATATGTACAGTTTGATAATCATGCTTATTTACTTGAAAATCAGAGACACAGACAAGAATTTCCATCTGCTGATTCACTCCCTAGATCCCCTTAACAGCCAGGGCCAGCTGAGGGCTGACACTGGGAGCCTGGAACCCGATCCAGGTCTCCCACAGGGGTGGCAGGTGGGGCAGGGACCAGCTGCTTGAGCTGTCACCTGCTGCCTCCCCGGTGCACATAAGCAGGAAGCTGGAATCTGAAAACATGCTGGGGCTCAAAGCCAGACACCCGGTATGGAATGTGGGCTTACCAAGCTGGCGCCACACACCCTCCCATGATTTGAAGGTTTTGATGCATTTATACCCCATGAAACCATCACAATCAAGACAATGAACACACTGAATACCCCAGAACCCTCCCCCCCACAACCCAGTGCTTTGCTGTCACTATAGTTTAGTTTGCATTTAAACATTTTATACAAATGGAATCTTACAGTCTGTATTTTGTCTGGCTTCTTTAACTCAGCATAATTAGTTTGCAATTTATCCCTGTCACTGAATGTATCCATACTTTGGTTAAGCTGCTACTTGCAATGCCAGCAACCCATATTGGAATGCTGGTTTGAGACCTGGCTATTCTTTTTCTGATCCAGCTTACTGCTAATGTACGTGGGAGAGAGAGTAAGAGAATGGCCCAGGTTGTGTGGGTCCTTGCCACCCGTATAGGAAACCCAGATGGAGTTCCTGGTTCCTAGCTTCCGGATGGCCCAGACTTGGCTATTGCTGCCATCTTGAGAATGAATCAGCAGATGGAAGTTTTTTTTTTTTTTTTCTCTCTCTCTCTGATTTTCAAATTAATAAAAACAAAATCAGAGCTGCCCCTGTGGCATAGTGGGTAAAGCTGCCACCTGCAGTGCCAACATCTCATATGGGCACCAGCTTGAGTCCCAGCTGTTCCCCTATCCAGCTCCCTCCTGATACACCTGAGAAAGCAGTGGAAGATGCCCCAAGAGCCTGGGCCCCTGCACTCATGTGTGAGACCCAGAAGAAGCTTCTGGCTCCTGGCTTCAGACTGGCCCAGTTCCAGCCATTGTGGCCATTTTGGGAGTGATGAAAGACCTCTCTCTCCGTCTCTCCCTCTCTCTGTCTGTAAATATGCCTTTCAAATAAATAACTAAAACAAAAATAGGATCACGGCCAGGGGAGCCAATGTATGGTCTGTTGATTCAGATGCCAGATTGCCACATCGGAGTATGTGCATTTGATTTCCAGCTCCTGACTCCAGCTTCTTGCCAGTGCAGACCCTGGGAGGCAGTGGTGAGGGCTCAAGTAATTGAGCTGCCGTGGCATAGTAGGTTAAGCTGCCACCTGCAATGCCAGCATCCCATTATGGGTGCCAGTTCGTGTCCCAGTTGCTCCCCTTCCAATCCAGCTCTCTGAGAGTGACCTGGGAAGGCAGTGGAAGATGGCCCAAATGTTTGGGCCCCTGCACCCACGTGGGAGACCCTGAAGAAGCTCCTGGCTCCTGGCTTCAGATTGGCCCTGGTCCCGCCATTGCAGCCATAAGGGGAGTGAACCAGCGGATGGAAGACCTCTCTCTCTCTCTCTCTCTTTCCCTCTCCTTCTCTGTAACTCTGCCTCTCAAATAAATAAATCTTTTTTTTTTTTTTTTTGACAGGCAGAGTGGACAGTGAGAGAGAGATAGAGAGAGAGAAAGGTCTTCCTCTTTTGCCGTTGGTTCACCCTCCAATGGCCGCCGCGACCGCTGCGGCCGGCGCACTGCACTGATCCGATGGCAGGAGCCAGGTACTTATCCTGGTCTCCTATGGAGTGCAGGGCCCAAGGACTTGGGCCATCCTCCACTGCACTCCCGGGCCACAGCAGAGAGCTGGCCTGGAAGAGGGGCAACCGGGACAGAATCCGGCGCCCCGACCAGGACTAGAATCCGGTGTGCCGGCGCCTCAAGGCGGAGGATTAGCCTACTGAGCCGTGGCGCCAGCCAAATAAATAAATCTTTTAAAAAATTGGTTTTATAGGGAACTTTTCAGAGATATGTCTTTTACATAAAGTACAGTAAGTCCAGATAGTACTAATAATTTAAAGTTTTCAAAGCTTAATTCTGTCCTTTTAGTCCTTAGCTAAAGAAGACACAGATGCAGCCATTCAGTCGATACTATACAGAGAAAACTATATGATTAAGGTAAGAATTGGTTATCAGAATGCAGCTCAGTGAAAATTGAATTTTTTCCCTTTTAGATGCACTGTACTCTGTATTTTAGAAATACTAAAAATATAAAATTAAAATTAAAAGCACTCATTAGCACCTTGGATTCCCGTTCAGGCTCTGAGGTAGGGACTCCCTGTCTTCCCGCACTTCAGGAGATACCTACACCACATGCAGCGGGAGCACATTCGCCTACTCACTTGCTCCTTCGTCTCTGTGGGATTCTGCAGACATCAGGAATGAGCTGGTCCTTAAGAACTATTATGAGAATACACAAATTGTTACTTAGGTATCCACAGATAAGCACAAGGTTTAACTGCAGCAGAATGAACCTAATTAAACAAGAACATCCAGGTGAAGTATGCCGAAACTGGTCATCTGTTTTTAGGAATTTTCCTTAGAGTTCTTTAAACAGGAGTTATCACTGGTAGAGGCTGAATATTCTGTGGCCTGAGGTAGGGAGAGCCATGGCAAAGAGAGACGCAGTACTCTTAATGTCTTCCTGTTTTCATTCTGAATTTCAGTTGATCCCAGTAACCATGGGACTTCCTCGATACGTGACAGGTGGGTGAGGAGGAATTAGTTTATGACCTAATCAGGTGTCATCTTTGCAGGCAACTTACCGTTTGGAGCAGGCTGTGCCTCTTCACTCTTATTTCATAGAATGCTCTTGCTTGTTCTCTTGCACCCCTTCTCTTCCTGAATAACTCCCCATTTTTATGGCCCAGCCCAAATGTCTTTCTCCTTTAAAATTTTTTTCCCACTCTGATAAAATATATACAACATAAAATTAGCATTTTAACAATTTTTACATGTACCATTCAGTGACATTAATTATATTCACAGTGATATATGACCATCAGTTTATTTCTAAAACCTTTTCATTACCCCAAACTGAAACTTTGTGCCCAATAAGCAATAACTCGTTTCCCTCCCCTGAATCTCTGGTTTTGTCTTCATGACTCTGCCCCTCTAGCTAGTTCATCTATGTGGGATGTCACATTATTTGACCTTTTGTGTCTGACTTGTTTCACTTTGGCACATTGTTTTCAAGGTTTGTCCATGGTGTAGCAGGGGTCAGAGCGCCATTCCTTTTTTGGCTGAATGCTATTCCATTGTATGTGTCGACCAGGTTTTATTTATCCATCTATTGGTGGAACCTGGGTTGTTTCCACCTTTTGGCTCTTATGGACACTGCAGCAGTGAACAAATACCTATTTGAATCCCTATTTTAATTTTTTGGTATGCATCCAGGAGTGGAACTCCTGGGCCATATAGTAATTCTGTTTATGTTTTTGAGGTACAACCAAACTGGAAATCTTTTAGGACTCTAGAAAATGGTTTTTCTCTCCTTTGTGTCTTCAGTTACTGTATATATAAACTATGTCATACATACACAAGTAAGTGTATGTCTGTTTTAGTACACTGTCCCTACTCCCTCTATTTTATAGATTTGCTTTTCAGTCTGTCTCCGAGGAGAGCAGACATGTCGTCTCAATTACTTATGTATCGCTCATTTCCAACATAGTATGCATCAAACAGGACAAGCCAAATAAATGACTGAATTAATGAATGCCCTTGTGGGTTATTCTTAGGAATAAACTTACAAAGTTTGAGCACTAGAACATTTTAGAACAGTGAAGCTTCAGGATAATGTATTTGTCTTTTCTATCCCTGTTTTCTAGGAACTAGACAAGTATTTACAGCATTATGACTTCTTAAAGGCAAGAAAGAAAGAGATGTTACATAAAAGATGGGTCGACAACGTGGCAGATCCTCTCCAGAAGAAAATCTTAGAAAAAATTGGTTCACATAAGAAGATTAAAAAAAGGAGACAAGAGGAACTCGATAGTTTCCTAAAATATGTAAATAAGAAGGTACTAAGAGATCATCTGATACTTTTTTTAGTTGGTTTAAAAACTATATTTAGCAGGACAAATATCTGATGTATTTTTTAAAAAATATTTATTTATCTATTGGGAAGGCAGAGTCACAGAGAGGGAGATCTTCC